ATGTTAGTGAGAGAGTAAACAGAAGTATATTCACCAAAATACACCCATGGTGAAATCTGTGTCTTTAGCTTTCTCTACAGGAGACAGGAATCTAAGAATTGCAATGAAGCCCTTTCTAATTCCTAATTGCTGAAGCCCTTTCTAATTCCTAATTGCTGCTACTTATGTTGTCATACTATATTATTCAGTTTCCTTTGCAACAAAGGAACAACTGAGGAAAAACATAGTGTAGACATGTGCAAACTGCCCAACTCCATAGAAGTTTGGTGTGTGTGTTGAAGATTTTGGAAAAGTAAAATTGCCAACTTACTCTTGGCCTGTTTCAACAGATACTAAACACACCCATGGGTACAGAAACCACAGAGCCTAGATTGCAACAAAGGAACAACTGAGGAAAAACATAGTGTAGACATGTGCAAACTGCCCAACTCCATAGAAGTTTGGTGTGTGTGTTGAAGATTTTGGAAAAGTAAAATTGCCAACTTACTCTTGGCCTGTTTCAACAGATACTAAACACACCCATGGGTACAGAAACCACAGAGCCTAGCGGATAGGATTTCTGAATTTCACTGTTGTTTCTACCACTTGATCTTAGTCTAGAAAAAATAAATGACACAGCAAACTTTTGCTTCTAAGTTTTTAATAAAGAAGCCAAGTTCAGTGAGTTGGTTAGAACATGGTAACTCTGCCTTTGTCTTTATTCAGCCAACATTTACTGAAACATCTCTGATGGTCAGATAGTGTGTTATGCTTTTGCTAAGTATTACAAAAAGAGAAAAGGGGGTGTTAGTATCATAAAACTCAATCTTATATTTAAGTTCCACTAATCAACAGAAAGAATATCCCAACCCTTTTTATGTTTGGATAGGTGTGGTCTTAAGCACGGCCTCTTTAACACTAGCAAAATGAAGTTCTACCTGGATTCATCTTCTAACTTCTCTTCTAGAAATAAGCTCATCAGAGACATATCTCCAAAATTCTAGAGGCCAAGAGTTGATAGCTAGAAAGGGATTAAGAATTTATATAAAGCACTCACTGTTACAGCTTCTGGTTGCTGTCCTCTTTAGCTGGTCACTTAACCATGAACCTCTGTATTAGAACACTGCCATTTCTGCATTCAGGTGGCTTGGATTCACATTCCAGTTTTACAGTTTACACTTTGGTTCTCAGATGCCTCATCTTTGTACTGGGGATAACAACAGTATCTACATCACATGGTGTGGTGTGAGGATCAAATTGTGTAATCAAAACTGAATTACGTTTCTATGGCTCAGTCATCCATAGTGCTATGAAACAGGATTAGGAATAATTCATTGTTTGCTTTGCCACAGCTCCAAGCCCAGTGGTGGTCCAGCTCCTTAATGCCTGTATGTAACTTACTACCTGGTAACATTTTCAAAAGAGAAACAGCCTTTCCATCACTTTGTGAGTGTCTGATACAGTTCTATTCTAGAAAATTGGTTTAAGAAACTTAAAGACAAGTTGAGCACCCGTCATTTGCCAGTGCAATTATTGAATAAACATGAGAAACTGTTCCTTTAATTCTAACTCATCTGTACCCTTAAAACATTAGCCTATGTAAGGCAGAAATAATTATCCAGCTTGAAAAATGTTTCTCTGACTCTGCACAAGGTATTTGCCCAGAAACTAACATTCTGTAGGTCCTCATAGATCTCTAAAATCTAACAAGTCTCTTACTTAGACTATTCATCTGCTAATGGTTCTTGTTTCTTTAGCACTGTTAGCTTTTGGGGAAAAGTGAACTTGAAATGACATATAATGTGACAAGATTTTAATCATAGAACCCCAACCAATCTCACATATAAAAAAAAGTTTGAATGTGAATATGAATACTCTTAAGTCTGTATGTCAGAGCAGTGGCTTTAAGCACACTCACATGCATACAGAGAGGGAGAGAGGACAGTCGGAAAATATATTCCCCTAAACATCACTTGACCGTGAAATTATGAGACCTGAGATGCCTGCAGGCCTGGACTCATTGTCTTCAACATCATATATTATCGTTGCAGGTGCCCTAGAAATCTCAGCATCTGTACCTGTAATTCCCTTAAAATAATGCAGTTAAGTTTTTTCTTTATAATTCTTAGGTCTTTCGTATATGCATGTGGCTCAGCCCAGTAAGTCGGGAGCTCCTGAAGAACAGGAAGTGTGCCACCTATATCTTGTGGATTTTTCTATATCTAGATATACATTGGATGATAACTGATTGACTTATGGATGAAGAGAGAGTCATGTGTACCAGAAAGTATTTCTTATATGAGGAAGATATTTAGAAACAACACATAAATGAAATATAAAATAAGCCACAACTAAAATAGATGTTGAAAGAGTAAAAAGATGTTAATGGAGACATGAGGGATGGGGGAGGGAAGTAGAAAAATAGCTATACACTTAAGAAAGAAGGAGCCGAGGAGTATTTTAAGGTTCACTCCAAAAAAAAATGTTGCCATTTGAATATGCATCCAAAAAACATAATCAGTAGTCAAACTAGTATGTAAAAATATGCAAGAGAAAACTTTCATACAGTCACCTGGCTGATTGAAAATTTTAAACAAAAATCATTTGCATAACATGCTGGATTTTATAGTAGGAAAAGAAATCATTTGCTTATTTCAAGACAAAATAAGTTTAACATACTTAACCCAGATTCAGAGGGTCACTTGTGAATGAGAAAAATTATGGGATAAAAGGGAAATAAAGTTTTAAAACTCTCTGTAGTTATGAGTCATTGTTTATGAAGAAGAGTTTATTCAATGCATAAAATTTTGCTTTAAAATCACTGTGGCACTGATTTGTATTTTATTGTTCAATATAATTCTTGAGGAAATCTATAGTTGCATTATTTAACTAAATACAGCATATATGGTGGCTAAAACTACTCACTCTCCTAAACCTACATGGAAAAAATTAAATGAAGCCATTTAAAATGCTTGGGAATTTATGTGAGCACATGTGGCAGAAAGACTAACAATTACATGAATTAAGCGGAAGGGACAAAGTACTAAATCCTTTCAATGAACTTGCAAATGAAGATTTTAAGAACTCAAAGAAACAGCACATATGACTGTCAGTCTCAGTATGGTGAAATAAAGGTGAGTCTGCTCTTTTCAGAAGTCACATCAGAAAAATAAGAATATCAGGAAATAGAATCACTCACTGATTTATACATTGACAACTAGAAGACATCTATAACTCCAAGTCGGAGAACACTAAAAGAAAAGTGGTAAAATGACTCAAAACGGAGAAAGTAAGATCAAAGTGCCTGTCAAGGGGCTGGTGATGGGAGGCAGGTATTATTCACCCTGCCGAATTTCAGCGAGGCATTTGAACTGGAGGTACCGATCGCTGCAGACGGAGAGGACGGAAATGCGTGTGTTGAAAGGGGCCTGCAAGGAGGAGTTAGGCCCTCACTCTCCCCATCCCTGCCTCAACACAAAGCCTGTGCAGACGTAAGTGTATGCTCTGGAGAAGCTCTGGACTGGAGATGTCGGCAGACAGCAGCACTGGGGTGAGATAGGGGATTTCAAATGGGAAGATGAAGTGAAAGTGGGTGCGCCAAATGATGAGAACCCTGTCTAGTTCCAGAAAAACTGGGCTCCCCTACAGAAAAAAACCCTCACATGCTCATAATTTGGAGCCTCTCCCTGTCAAAAACAAACAAGAAAACCAGTTGACCATCAGATTAGGCTACAATGTAATTGTAATTCTGAGGTATGATTTGTAATAATTAACACCCTGCTATGCACTGGTACCCAAGAAGCCCTGAAATGCATGGTTTGACACCCTAGGTTTGATGTCTCCTTCACGTGAAGTCCAGTGTGGTCTCCGGCTCTCCTCTGTCTTGCAGCTCTGCCGTCTGGAGCACGGGGCCTTCAAGACCCCCATGGCCGGGGCTGTGATGGAAAAGAGAGCACACACGCTCTTAACTGTCTCATCCCAGAAGTGACACATGTCGCTCTCATTTATGGTGTGTTGTTTGGAACCATTCACATAGGAGATGTTTGGGAGCACATGGATTTTGGGTGGTGACTAACTTCTCAACAACTCTGTGCAAACTTATGTCCCGCTTCTTGCAAGACACTTCACTTACTCCTCGTGTACCAGCCATAGCGTTTGTTGTTTATTTCACTGATAATAGCAATCCATTTTAAATTTCAAAGCTAATATCTATATGTCTATTATATATTTATGATAGCTAAATATCAAAGCTAATGCCTACCTAATATGTGCTGGCCCTGAGGGCAGGACTAAGAATACAGAAATGCATATGATAAAGTGTCCAATGTCAAGGTTATTCTACCATTTAATTTCTTAGTTCACATTGGCTTTGAAATAATTTTCAGGTCATCCCTCTTAATATTTATATTGGTGGGTATAAATCAGTGACCAGCTAATCAAAGACCATCTAAGTTATGGATTTATAATCAAGAGGATCTTGTGTCCCTGTCACAAATATTTAATTTCAGATATTTCTCCCAAGTCTTTTGAGAACTGCTCCTCTTCTCCTTTTAAACTAAAATAATTATTGAGAATTCTTTTCTTCTTTATAATGGCAACATGTGAGGATCTTTAATATGCTCCATAGATAAGTAACTGCAAATTCATCTATTTCTCAGTATTACCTTGTGGTTTATTTCTGATGTTCACTGAAGCAGGTTTCTAAATTAATATTTAATATGAAATGCTCTAAAGAAAGTTTTGTGGCATATCAGTTGAAAGCAATTATCCAGAAGAGTTTTATGTCTGAGTCAGTCTTGCAAATGCATCTCATATGCTTTATGAAAGGAAATCATTCTTCTGCTTTAAAAAGATATATTTATCTTAGAAAGACTATTATATCTGTTCTTACTTGACTTTCTAAATCTACACCTTGAACTACTTATACCAGTGGACAACTGATTTTTAGTAATTGGATTCTGAGAGTGTTGTAATTATGAATTTTTTATAATGTTTGGTTTCCTTATGTTTGTTTTTTTCAGAGTACCCAAGTGGCCTTGGACCATCTGGAGTCTGTGCCTGAGAAACTGAGCCTACTAGAAGATTTCAAGGACTTCAAAGTAAGAAAGAGTTGGTTTGTCTCTTTCAGTATTCTTTTCTCAGCAAGCACACTTGACATCTTCCTGATAGGCAGAGAAAATTGTAGGGAGCAAGGAAAGACTAAAGAACACTGGGGACTTCTAACACCCCATTTTATCAGAGTTTCTTGACATTTGTAAAGTCATGATTAAAAATGATGGAACTTACCTATTAGCACAATATAGGGAAATAGAGATTTTTACCCTAGTAGATACTCATTTGGCTGCCTAAAGCTTTAACTATAATTCAGAAAAAAAAACAACAACTCAGATTTAAAAGACAGAAGACAGACTCAGAATTACATTGACAACAGATAACTTTTTGGACCACCAAATTTAATTTAAGAATTATCTTCTTTTTTTTTAATTACAAATTTCCAGAGTACTGTTTTAGAGATAACAAAGGCTATCCCTAAACTGTGATGTATGAATTCAAATCCACATAAAGTTTTATATTTTATATCTCATGCCATTTATTGATTGAACTCTAACCGCAAAGCATTTCATTATCAAGCTAATTAATTACATGTGTGGATTTACCTACTGTAATGTTTTGTAAGTTCCTCTAGAGGAGAGATGCAAAGCAAATAACCCTGCCACCCAGTCCTACCCGACAAGGTCCAGGCCAGGGAACATTTTTGCATATTCCCTAGGGTTGCATATGTAATGGGCAATTTTAGCAATTTATAATTTCTTGACCCTGTTTGGCTGAAGTTAACAATGACAAAGTTCTCTTTGAAAACTATTTAACCTCTTATTTCACACTGGCTTTAAAATATAACCTGTTATTTTATGTTCTTTTAAATCTAACTTATCACTTGAGTATATAGTGAATAGAAATGTAGGCTATTCATGCCACATTGACTTACTGGAGGCGCTGATACAAAGCGGCTCTCACGGTCTGCATTATCTTAAAACTACCTTTAATAAAGCATATTATGGTAGCTCAGTAACAAAACATTTTTTTATTACTGGTTAAGCTGACATGCCCGTAAAATCCAGGCTATCACAAATTCAACAAAACCAAGTGTTTCTAGTGTATTTTACTAAAGTTTCCATTCTTTTTCATGATTTGATTATATATTTAAAGTTTAAATCCCTGTCAAAGAATCGTGAAACCAGTGTCCAAGAGGGTGTGTTTTTTTCTCACCCTTATATTACCCAGTATGGATAGCAGACAATAAGTTAACACCTATATCCTTTCCACCTTGCTCTCTGTAGCTAACAGAAGTCATGTAAGTGAATAAAGGGCAGACAAGAGAAAGTATTGGAAACAGGTGGCATTTGTCACTCAAACAGATGCCTGTCTTATACCAGCATAAAAATAAAAAGACTTTCACTTTTTTCCCAGTAGTCTAGACTGAAAAGAATATTCATAAGTACAACTTTAAAGTTCCATTCTCTACTATTACCAGATTTTTAAAATTATTTTTCATTGCGATTATATACAAGTCTAACATATATATATATATACACACATACACACACTGACAAAAGAGTGCCTATATAACAAAACTTTTAGAATATTTTTCAGAGTTTAGAATTGTACTTTCTAATGTTAGTCATTAAAATTGAAGACTTTAGCTTTAAAATGTAAAGGAGTTCATCAGCAAGTGTTATGAACTACAATATCAGGCACTAGCAAGTACTTCATATGACATTGTTTCAAATCCTCAGAGATACCCTATAGATGGGCATTATTTTCTCCTATTTTACATCTGAGGAAACTGAAGCTTGGAGTATTAGTTGGAACTGGGATCTGATTCTGTGTCTTAACAAAGCCCATCTTTGCTCTACTGCCTCTGGCTTGAAACCCACTCTGTATGTAGCCAAAGCCACCTACATGATTAAAAGAGCTCATTTAATCAGTTTAATGAAAACAACTAAACATAGGCTTAAATAAGATACATAAAGCCATTGGATTATTAGATAGAGTCATATTTTCAAACCCTTAAAACTTTCTAAGAATCAGTACGCTCTGAACAAAGCACAGAGGCCTAAGGTCTGGTCCAAGCTCATGCACCCAAGAAAATCACTTAATATCTCAGAGGATATTTCCATATAACGAGGGCTTAAACAGTGTTATCTCTGTGGTTACTACTCATACCGGCATTACTAGCAGATATGTGAAAATGTACGCTGTAGTAAACACTTCATGTAATATGATACCATAGTCTCTCATAATACTATCATATTCACTTTGATAATAGAGTGTAGGACTCTATTATCAAAGTGTGAACAAACC